ACACACACACACACACACACACACACACAATGAGAATGCTGGTTTTGAACTAACATTTAAATAATTTTCTGTCCAGAAACTGCTGCCAATAGATGAGCTTTTTCTTTTCCTCTCCTACCTGTCTACTGGATGTACCCAGAGGGAACTGGGCCATCGATTTAACATCCACAGAGCAACAGTCAGCCGCATTATTGTGACATGGGCCAACTTCCTGTACTGCTTATTGGGCTCAATTTGTGTGTGGATGTCTCCTGCAGCTGTGAGTTCCAGTCTTCCACAGGATTTTGATGGCCGCTACAGTGACACACAAGTTATCCTGGACTGTACAGAACTACGGTGTCAAACACCTTCATCCCTGCTCCTCCAGAGTGAAGTCTTCTCCACCTACAAATCCCACTGTACCTTTAAGGCCATGGTGGGCATGTCTCCTCACGGAGCCCTGACATTTGTGTCAGCACTGTTTGAGGGTTCCATGAGTGACAAGGAAGTGTTCCGTCAATCAGGGATTACATCACTCTTGACACTGGACATGGCCATCATGGTGGACAAGGGATTCTTGGTGGATGATCTCGTACCTGGGACTGTTCATCGTCCTGCCTTCCTCTCCAAGAGGGCCCAAATGTCAGAGGTCGACGTTTTGAAGACCCAGTTCATTGCCCGTTTGAGGGTGCATGTTGAGAGGTTAATAAGAAGAGTTAAAGAAAATAAACTCTTTGATTCCACTATCCCTCTCTCCATTGCAGGAAGCATAAACCAAATTTTTACAGTTGCCTGTCTCCTGTCAAATTACCAAAATGGACCTTTGGTCAGGAAATGGAGATATGAAGTTTGACAGAAAAGCTGATGGCACAGTCTTGAAGAAACAGAAAATGCTGTCATTTACTTACATTGACATTGTCTTACATTTGTAAATAGATATTCATGATGGAAATATTTTGAAACAAATTTGTACATTTGATTTGATCAAACTCCTAATTTAGACATTTCTGCAGGTAAACATAGAAAAAATATCTGTCTACTTTGTGTTTGATTGAATCCATCACATTAGTGTCTGCATAAATTCTTTGAATAAGAATATCTTCCTCAGCTGAGACAACAAAATCACACCAGTTCATCCCAGTTATTAGCATCTGCCCCTGAACCTGCCAATAGTAAACATGAGTTTTTTTTAGTTTATTCACCATGTCCCAGGTGACCTCCATACTTTTAAGGTGTAGCTGTTGTGGTTCAGAACAAACAAACATGCTTTTTGATGGCTGTAGGTGGTAGTTCTTAAGAGGCAGAGATGGGCGGGGTGGTGCAGCATGGAAGGACATGTCTCTCTTTGCTGTTGCTGGCTGTTGGTAGGACAGAGGACTTCCAGCCTGAACTTTGCCAAGGGCAGAGTCAACAAGGGGAAATTCATGGCTGATTCCCATGCTGCAGATCATTGGTGCATCAGCTGCTGCAAAATCTTCATACACCTCGGAAACCTGGGAAAGTGAAAACAATTATTTCAATAAAATGTAAAATACATGTATATCAACTAATTTTAAGCCCTCAAAAATTCTACACTTTACAAAGAGACAGCACTTGAAAATAAAATTATTCAATACACCGGTAAGTCTACAACTCTTTGTTAGTACATTGTAGCCTACTGTTAATTTCATTTTTATTTATCAGTAATTTAAATACAACTACTTACTCTAAGGACAGAAAGGTCCGGCAAATCCCCACTAAGGCCTTTGTAGAGTGTGCTCCTGTGTATATAAATAAGAAAAGAACATGAGTCAAAAATAGAATACCCACCTGCATTTCGTTCAGATATGAAACATAAAATAATAGTGTTTTTCAAGCCTGGTCCTCAAGGCACACTGTCCTGCATGTTTGAGATTTGTCCCTGCTTAAACACAGCTCATTTCAGTTGGTAACTGATTAACAACTGTATCAGCTGTGTTAATGCAGGGAAATCTATAAAGCATGCAGAGCAGTGTGCCTTGAGGACCAGGGTTGAGAAACACTGTTGTAATACATCAGAATTTTTATTGATTTTTTTTTACCTTACACCCTCTGTTGTTGCTCCACTCTTCGGTTTAGCAGACAGCACAGTCATCTTGTCCACGGGGCCAGGTTTTATACCCTATTCAGTTATCCATGACACAGTTACAAGTTATACGGCAAGAAAATGTAATAAATTGAGTCTATTATTGAAGAGAAAACTTACTAAAGTTCTGGGCTTGTGCCACTGCTGTTCTCCTTCTGTACAGCTTAGTACAGGGGGGACCACTGACAGTTTCAGCTCAGAATAATGTGCTGACTGGAACAGCAAAGCCACACAGTGGTTGCATAATGCTGCACCAGCAACACACGTACAGCTGTGGTGAATCAGCTCCACAGGACACGAGTCTTTCAGGACCACCTGCATAAGAATGTCATAGTAAGAACTTATTATCTTAGCTTGGTCACTCATCAGCCATTCTTTCATGATGCAATCTTGCTTCCCAAATATTTTTTTATAACTAATGTCATAGAACCATAGTATCATGTTATGTGATTATATATTTAGTTTGGAGTATGTTCTATGAAGGTCAAGAGTAGTGTAATACAATTATCACAAGATTACATCTTAAATGAATGGATGAGATAAAGATAACTTGATTTCAAAACACTTTTAACCCAGAGGAGACCCGCTAGGTAAAAATACCTGGATAATGTTACAGAGACTGTGAGTGTATTCTTTAGATTTAAGTAAAACTAATATGCATGAATTACCAAATTAACACTGGGTTAAAAGTAACACATAACAACCATAAAAGAAGAACAATGCATGCAGCAAATAACCAAATGGGGACAAGCAAGGCCAAACTCACGTGTTAATATTCATCAAATAGCCAATTCCATTTTATTTTTATTTAAGAATTAATTACCACCTTAGCTAAATCCCCATTAACATTAGGAACGTCGGGTTACTGAACCAACAATCTTAAAACTGTCATCTGAACAATCCTATCTTCACCCTACACTTAAACTGTGAGGTTTTTCATTTTTCTTCATGGACCTGTGACACAGAGCCCTGACAACGACTTCACCTGTGTCCTGATTTTTGCTAGAAACTGAGAAGAGCAGAATGTTAGTAGAATGATCACAAAATATGAGCCTTTTGTTTAAGTGTGGAAAACCTGTTTCTATAACGTGAGTATACACAAAAATGGTCGTGTTGCTAATAGCCTAACGTTAGCTGCAAACAGTTAGCAACATCACAACGATCAAACTAACGTTACTTACCCTCGTAGTTGTGCAGGTAACTTGAGATATACAATTTAAATCCCTTGTTACGTTTGCTTGTCGGAGCAGGGGACCAGGCATCAACAATACGATGAACATCGCTGATATTTATCTTGGGCAGCTCTTGTAAACATCTAGAAAACGCCATTTTCACCGAGACCGGGGATTAGACCGGAAACTGGAATGCCGACATCCGGTCAAAGGGGAAGTGATTCAGGACGCATGTGCACAGAGCCTATTGTTTAATTTGTCCAGTTGGTTTCTCTGATCATCATTTAGTTTACTTGGATTTTCATTTTTCAAACACCACTAGAGGCAGATCTTATTGGCATTTTAACACTAAACTACTTCAAGATACCTTTTTTTGCCAAAGCTTTAATACTTTCTGGCAGTTATGGCAGGAAAGAAAATCATCATTTTCATCCTTATCTGATTGGTGGGAGGTTGGAAAGGCTAAGATAAAAGTTTTTTGTCAACAATACACAAGTCATTCTACAGCTAAAATTAAAAATGTGATTCAGAATCTAGAAAATGAAATACAGCAGTTAGAAAACAATACTTTCACAGATGTTATTAATAATGACCATCTTAAACAAAAGAAAGATCAGTTAAGTTGTTTTTTACATGAAAGGGCTAAAGGGGCTTTAGTTAGGTCAAGGTTTGCCTCTGTTAGGGATATGGATGCCCCTACATCTTTCTTCTTTAATTTGGAGAGGAACGTCAGCCAGACAAAGCAGTTGGTTTGCCTCCAGCTTCCAGATGGGACTCGGACCACCGATCCCAGTGCCATGAAGGAGCACGCTGTGGAATTCTACAGTGACCTCTATAAGCAGCAGACGTGTAACAGAAGCTGCATGGATGCCCTGCTGGATGGTCTTCCTCAGCTGAACGATGCAGATCGGGCGATTCTGGATGCTGGAGTTTCACTGGAAGAACTGACTGCCGCTGTTGGACAAATGGCTCCTGGCAAAACTCCAGGGCTGGATGGTATACCTGTGGACTTTTATAAACATTTCTGGACTCTGTTGGGAGAGAACTTGTGGGAGGTGCTTCAGGAGTGCACATTAACAGGTATCTTGCCATCGTCCTGCCGACAAGCTGTTCTTTCCCTTCTTCCCAAAAAAGGAGACTTGACTCTGCTGAAGAACTGGAGGCCCGTTTCCCTTCTCTGTGTGGATTATAAGTTATTTTCTAAAGTGCTTTCGAATAGGTTGAAGAACTTCCTTGAACTTATCATACACAGAGATCAATCATACTGTGTTCCTGACAGATCCATCATGGACAATCTTTTTCTTTTAAGAGACTTGTTTGACATTTGTAAATGTTATGAAATTGATGTGGGTATTATTTCCTTAGACCAGGAGAAGGCCTTTGATAGGGTTGATCATTGTTTTCTCTTTTCTACATTGAGCTTTTGGGTTTGGTGAAAGGTTTATTTCTTTATTGGGTTTATTGTATAATGAAGTGTTTTGTCTTGCTAAAGTAGGGGGAGGTTTAAGTTGTCCTGTCAAGGTCCAGAGAGGCATTCGTCAAGGGTGTCCTATATCTGGACAGCTGTATTCAATTGCAGTTGAACCACTTTTACACAAAGTACGTTCTACCCTTACTGGTGTTATTTTTCCGGGTTTGTCTATTCATCCAGGGTTAGTAGTTTCTGCTTACGCTGATGATATAAACATTTTTATTAAAAACCAGGATGATGTCATAGGTCTTCAACACTGCTTGGAACTTTATGAAAAAGCATCTTCAGCTAAGGTGAACTGGGAAAAAAGCTCTGCTTTAAAAGTTGGCCCTTGGACAAATAACAATCTGCCCATATTACCAGGTAATATTCACTGGGTTAACCAAGGGTTAAAATTCTTGGGTGTGTTTTTGGGGACAGATACTTTTTTGGAAAAAAATTGGGAGGGTGTCATGGAGAAAGTGTGTGCCAGATTTTCTAAGTGGAAATGGCTGCTGCCTCAGCTGTCTTACAGGGGAAGGGTTCTGGTGGCTAATAACTTGGTTGCTTCGGCCCTCTGGCACAAACTGACTGTTCTAACACCGCCTGCTTCTCTCATACATCGTATCCAGAAAACTCTTGTGGATTTCTTCTGGTCTGGACGACACTGGGTGAAAGCTGCAGCCTTGTACCTACCGGTGGAAGGGGGAGGACAAGGACTCATAGACATAACCTCACGGATCGCGGCTTTCAGGCTTCAAACACTGCAAAAACTACTATACGGAGTTGGACTACCATGGCTGGATACTGCACGTCTTCTGCTAAGGAAAGCAGGACGTCTTGGCTATGACAAACATCTGTTTTTGCTGCGACAAGGATCTTTGGACCTAACAGGCCTTGCACCATTTTACCGTTCAGTTTTAAATGCTTGGCAGATCCTCACCTTTGAGAGAAAGACTGTTTTGACACCTGGAATGTGGGTTTTTGAGGAACCTCTGTTTGAAAACAGTTTCTTCTCATCACAGCTGCTCTCATCTGCTACAATGAGAGCTAAGATGAGAGACGCGGGCTGTGTGAAGCTGGGTCATCTAATGAAGCTGTCTGCGTCCAGTCTCACTGAGCGTCTAGAGCTGCGATCCAACAGACTTGTGTTTAGGCTGAAAGAGGAGGCCTGTTCTTCTCTGCCAGATTCCATCAGAGCGTTTGCTTCTAACAGTACTCTGTCTGACCAATGGGATGATGACTGTGAGTATGCGTTTCCTTCCCTGATTGTCTCTCCTGCAGTGGATCAGTGGCAGGATGAGACAGAAAAGTTGCTGACTCTCCAAGATGCACCACTTGGTTGTTTTGACGACCTGGGGAAGAAAGACTTGTACAAGATTTGCATGAAGGTCTTGAATTTACGCTCTCTGGCAGAAGTGAGAGTGTCAAAGTGGACTGAGTTTTTTGACACCGGATCTACCCCGAGAGGCTGTTGGCGGTCCCTGTACAAACCCCCCATTGAGAAACGGGTGGGTGACCTCCAGTGGAGGATTGTGCATGGGGCCATAGCTACAAACAGGTATCTGGCACACCTTAATCCTGACATTAGTGTTTCATGTCCTTTTTGTTCTCAGGAGGAAACTTTGCATCATATTTTTATTGAATGTTTAAGATTGAATCCTCTTATTGTTTTTTTAGATCATCTGTTTAGTGGTTTTGGTGTACAGTTTTCTACCTGCATTTTTATTTATGGTCCACGGTACTGTGCAAAGAAAAAACCTGTTCATGTTCTTTTGAATTTCATCTCTGGGACTGCAAAGCTAGCAATATGGTTATCAAGAAAGAACAAAATCAATGGGCATCAGACGGATGATGCTCGTGTTTTATTTCAAAGACTGGTAGTTGCTCGAGTTCGCGTGGAATTTGAGTACTTTAAGTTGACAAAAAACATGGATGGCTTTGTAAACAAGTGGGGTGTTAATGATGTTTTGTGTTCAGTGGATGAAGCATCTTTAGTTTTTACTTTTTGATTTTTTGTATTTAACATGTTTTTGTTGGTGTCTTGACTGTTGGAGTGTGTAATAAAAGATCTTTTAAAACTCAAACTCTTTCTTTCCTTCCTTCCTTCCTTCCTTCCTTCCTTCCTTCCTTCCTTCCTTCCTTCCTTCCTTCCTTCCTTCCTTCCTTCCTTCCTTCCTTCCTTCCTTCCTTCCTTCCTTCCTTCCTTCCTTCCTTCCTT